TTCTTTTTTCAACTTACTTTAATGTTATGTTACTTGACTGTGTTTTAGCTTTTTCACATGGAAACATAGATTTCTGATCTTAGATTCCCGTTCTCCCTCTTTCTAGCATCAGTATTCAAAGCTATACATTCTCTTCTTGTGACTGCTTTGGCTATAAGCCACAAATTTATACATTATTTTTATCATTTAACTTGAAATGTTTTCCAATTTCCCCTTTGATATCTTGCACAAATTTTCACATATTTGGTGTATTAAAAAATATCTTCTTGTTCTATATTTCAAATGTATTGTGGTTAAAAAAATGATGTAGGATTTTAATCTCTTCATATTTTTGAGACTTGTTTGTACTCCAGTATGTGGTACATTTTGAACATTTTCTATATGGTTGAAAACATTACAGAGCTATTGAATATACTGTTCTATAAATGTCAATCTGCAATTTATGAGACCTATTTACTTACTAGTGTTTTGTATGATTGTTCTATAGATCTCTGAGAGGAGATTGATTTACCTATTTCTCCTTTTTTGTCATTTTTTTTGTTTCATGTGTTTTTTAGTGCTGTCTTTGGAAGTGTACACATTTATAATTGCATTATCTTCACAATACAGTGACCTTTTATCATTATGAAATGTTCTTTTATGTCTCTTGGTGATACTACTTTCCTTAAAGTCTATTTTGCCTTTTAAAAGTAACATACAGTAAAAGATATTTTGCCTGACCTAGTTAGTTCATCCTTTTAATGTTTACTGTTTGAAAATGTAAATATGGAATGTTTTTACGTTATTATTTTCAGCACTTTTATTCAGAATTATATTTTAATTTTACATTTTTGGAATGTGTTTTTACATTTTTATTTTCAAGTATTTATACCTTTATAATGCATCTATTTTAGACATAATACATTTGAGTGCTTCTCCCCACCCCACTCTGCCCCCAAGTCTCACAGTATCTACTTTTCAGTTGGGTTTTTAGGCCATTTACATTTAATGTAACTGTTGTGTGACTGGATTTAGGTCTGTCATTTTGCTATATTTTCTGTTTTCAGGAAAAGGTATGAGTAAATGTATTTTTGTTTACAAGTTTGGTGGTGGGAACATGACAGAGTATGGGTTTCCTGTATTCTCCACGAAGCATGTGGTAAGGTCATCATAGGAGGGAGAGGGTAAAGGGAACAAATGTAAGGAGATTGAAGAGAAAAGAGAAGGTATGAAATTTATTGGGATAAGTGAGAAAATTAGCCTTCTAGAAGACAAAGTAGGTTGTGTCATTGGTATATTGGTTGTCCATTCACTCATTTCTTTATCATGTATTAATTTTAAAAAAGTGTCTCCTTTGTGGACAAAAACAGGCACAGCTCCTGATTCCAGGAAGCCGCAAGACTGTTGTTGTTGACAGACATTGGTCAAATAATCTCAGTAATATGTGTATGATTATAAGCTAAAAAAAAAAAAAAGGTACTGGGAGACCATGGAAATCAGTAATTCTACAAGAATGTTTAACTGATGAACTTGACCTTGAGCAAGTGTAAGGAATAGTTTGTTAGAGCCAGAAGCCCTTGAGTTGAGATCTAAAGTCATTGTAGGTTACATTAGGCAATGTTTGGTGTTTAGACAGAGAAGGGAGTGTGAGATGTTCTGTGGTGTGAGAGACCATGGCAGGCTGAAGTTGCTCACTGTGCACTGTTGCAGCTGAAGCACAGAGAGCAAGGTGGGGATGGGAAAGGGTGAAAGAGGGGTGGTGACTCAGGGCCAGATGATGCTGGATCCTACCATCTGTGATGAAGATTCTACCTAACAGCAATGAATCTGAAATGAAGCCAGTTTGTTGTGTGATAGATTTCTCTTTAAATCATTGAAACTTTCTTTGATACAAGTTCAATAGGACTGATGAAATTGGGCTACAATAAATTATCAGAGCAGTCCACAAAATGAATCATTGCCAAATTTTCTTACAGTCAATTTTATTTCTATTTGAGGGGAAAATAGGTAATTAGAGAACCTCAGGCATTGCTTCCAGGTTTCAAAGTGGCTTCTATCCAGCCACAGGGAGGCTCGCAGCAGAAAACCAGATGTTCAAATAAAGACCTAAGTGGACAAATACGAACGATGTACATTACACAAATACGTTATGGAAATCTTTCATGGTGTTTAGAAAAAACATCAATGACTTGAAAGTATTTGTATAAATGCCTCCGTCCTTCCAGAAGCCCCAAAGGGAGGAGTTTAAATGCATTTGTTGGGCATATTTGTGAGTTTCTACCTACAGTGTTAGCTAGTACATGCGGAAAATTAGAATAATGAGATTATTTTCTCGGCAGACATTTGCTGAGTGCCTTCCAGGTGTAGCCATTGTACTGGGTACCTTGTACTTGGCAGTGGAGATGAATCCGACAAAAGGTGTCCCCTCTGTGTGGGAAGATCAGACTTCATAAGAGGAAATAGTGATGCTGCTTAGAAAATGTGAGAGGTAGAAAGGAGTTTTAGGTAAACCACGGAGAATGGAAGCAAAGTGCGTCTTACGGGCTACAGGGATACTCCAGAGTCCTATTTCCTGTTTTGTTTTGTTTTTTTCCTTTTCACATTTAAACATTCTTTTAACAAAATGTATGTATTTATTTCAACAAACAGGAAAAATGGACTAGTTACAAATGGCAAGCACAATTTGTTATCTCTGGCTTTTAAATATTTTTTAATTTAACAAATATTCATCAAGCATGTATTATGGGTCACAGCATGATGCGTATTCCAGTTAACAGGAAGAAACAGGTCATGAGGATTTTAGGAAAAGATAAGAGAGTGCCCATGGTACTTGTTTTTGTGATTTTGATTCTCTTCAGAGAATAACTGAATGTACTTGGATGCATGATCCACTTATTTAGTCAAAGAGGCTCCCACAGAAACATTGATACTTCCTAGAGCCCATCCTGTTTGGCTTTCTCTGTTAAGAGTTAAAAAGTTGGAGAAGCAATACATGCCTGGGAAACTCTGCAGACAAATTCTTGGAATTGGCAATACACATTACTAAATTCTTTAATACAAAAAATAATGCTTCAAATTGTACTTTGGACACGATGTCCACTTTCTTGGCTCAATAAACAAACCCAAAATGTTTTTTAGCTTTCTGCTCTGGCACTCACAAAGTTTTGCCTAAAACCCTTGAGAATTTGCTGGAAAAGATTTATTTATGTGCATTCTGAAGAGCATGCCAAAATCCTGCTGCTTCATGTTTTTCAAGACTTTTCTAAATTAAAAAGTGAATGCGCGCGGGAGGGTAAAATGTTGGTTTAGTTATTGCGCACAGTAAATGTGTTTATTTCCAAGAAGAGATGAGTAACGGTGATGTGACAAGGGGAGTGCTCAGTCAAATGAATTCTGCCTGGACAGAGCTGAGGTTTATTTTACTCTTTACAAAGTCACTCTGTCTATTTAATGGAAAGTCATATGCACATAAAAGTCTATCAGTTTGGGGACTGCATTGTATTGATATTACACTAAGCTCTATTAGTTAACTAAAAACAGCCCAAACCACCCAACTCATCCACAGCCAGGGGCAGGGGGAGGGAATTGCAATGACAAGAAAACAAAATGACTTATTAGTTAAAGAGGTTTCAGATATTTTGCAGCTCAACTGATAGGATCAAAAGAATAAATGTTTTTGCAGAAACATTTAAAAACATGTGAGAGGAGGGGCGCAGTGGATCACGCCTGTAATCCCAGCACTTTGGGAGGCCGAGGCAGGTGGATCACCTGAGGTCAGGAGTTCTAGACCAGCCTGGCCAACAGGGTGAAACCTCGTCTCTACTAAAAATACAAAAATTAGCCAGAGGTGGTGGCGGGCACCTATAATCCCAGCTACTTGGGAGGCTGAGGCAGGATAATCACTTGAACCCGGGAGGTGGAGGTTGCTGTGAGCCAAGATCATGCCATTGTACTCCAGCCTGGGTGACAATGTAAGACTCTGTCTCCAAAAAATAAAAATAAAAATAAATAAAAACACGTGAGAACCCTATGTGCTGTTTTCTTTAAAATAGCCTTGTTCATTTCAACAAAATGTTTTACACAGAGAATGTATACATCTTGACACATTACATTCACTGATTGAAATGCGACTTATGCTGTGATGCAGATGAGCAGTAAATATCCAAACTGCATTTGGATCGAGAAAACATTTTGTATAAATAGTTTTCTAAGGAACAAACAGAAAGAAAGAAAATAATAACTTTTGTTTAGTATTGCTGCGATGCCAGTGACAGATCCTTGGAAGCAAAGAACTGTTTTGTATCCACATATGCTTGTAGCAAAGTTAGAATCCCTCGTGCCCTCCCCAGAGCCTTGATCTGATGGCCCAACTGCTGTGACTGATAGTCCCTTTGGTAACACAATTTCCCCTGTGTTTATCTGATATAACCGCTCTCCTAATCATGGCACTTTATTTATTTATTTACATGTGGTTATGAATATATATCACATTGGTACGAAATAAGTGGAGGAAAAGTAAGTTTTCAAGTGTGGAGAAGCCAAAAATGGCTTATTTGTATTCAATCTTGATCCTGCTTTCATGGCAGGCAAATTTGAGCCCATGGGCTTCGGTGGGCTTCAGCTGGGGGACCAGGGTCAGAGGCAGTGACAAGCCTAGGATTTTTTTTTTTGTTTGTTTTGTTTTGTTTTTTCTTTTTTTTAGTTATTGTATCAAATGCCATAATTTGTTTAAAAGCTTTTTACACACTGCAATGCAGATAACCATGCAGTATTAAGAACTGCAGCCTTGGTTGGTGGTAAAATTACTCTAAATACGTACAAAGTAGCCAAAAGTTTGAGAGCAAGTGAAAAATACTCTCTAAAATACCTTCTCCATCTCCTCTCCAAGGATAAAGACATCAGTACTTTTTTTTTTCAGTAGATAGCAATAAAGTACACAGAGGGTTAAAGAGTCAGTAGACTATTGACACGAACAACACTTTGTATCCTGACTATCCGTAGTTAGCCCTCCCATTTCCTACCTTAGTCAGAGGAGATTCAGATCACGTGGAAGATGGCAGGTTGTAAAGGAAAGAATATTCCCTCGCCCAAACTACAGGTTACAGCCAGTAGAGCCCGGCGCCATCATGAGCTGCGCCACCATTGATGCAACCGCCACTGAGCATGCGCAGTGTCTGACCCAGTCCATCCACATCACTGCACCGGGCTCCTCCTCGCCACCTGCTGGGTAGAAAGTCCCAGGGCAGGATTCTGACCGCGCATGCCTGGTGGGAGCACCTCTTCCTGCAGGGCACCGGAGCTCATCTTCCCTAGTTCCTCAGTAAAAGCACAGCATTCTTTCCTTGGTTCTATTTTCTCAGAGTCTCCTGTCTCCTGGATGCTTTCTGTCAGTCCTGAGACATATTCTGTTTCCTCCCATTTAAAAGTCCCATCTCCCCAAACACACACATCTACCCATTAAAACAAAACAACACAATCTTCCCTGGACCCCACAACCTCTGCTGTCCTTTCTAATCGGTGCATCTCCAGCACCCAGACATCCCCGGGGAGAGGCTCTCCCTCCCTCTCGCTGACTGCGGGGACGCCCAGTGGTCATCCTTCCCGGCTCACCCTTCCTTGGGACTTCTTTCTCCCGGTTCTTTCCTACTTCTCTCCGTCGTTTACGGGATCTCTCTTCTCTCCCTGACGTTAGACCTTGGAAGTGCTCAGGCCTGTTTCCTCTCTTCTCTCTAAGGTCCCCCAGTGACTTCATCCAAGTCCAGGGCATCAGCAGAGGACAAGTCACTGACCCCCATTCACACCTATGTGCACAGTCCAGACTCACACGTGGGCAGCTCATCCGCAGTGGCCTGGATGCCTCCCAGGCACCTCCAGCTGAAGGACTCACCACCGAGCACACTCCCTTCTCTGCGGACTCATTCTCTCCCGCATCCTCTTCTCAGCACTGGGTCACCCTGGGCCACCCACCGAGCCCACCCAGGTTCAGACTCGCACTTCCAGCCGGCATCACGGCTGCGTGAAGATTCAGCGCTGCCTCCCCCTGCCCCACAGCACGTTTTCATTTGCTTGTGTTTTCCATCCTCTCCGCCTCCACGCATGCCCAGACACCAGCACATCTTGCCTGGCGCCTCCCAGAGTCTCTTACATGGTGACTGTTCATGTGTGCTCTCTTCAACTGGTCTGTCTCTCCAGCAGACAGAGAGACCTTTCAGACCTGCAAATCCAATGATCACTCCTCCACTTAAAACTCTTCTACACTTAGGATGAAACTTAAATTCCTTGGCAAAGGCTGCACCACCACCTGGGCCACTTTCCCCTCTTGGTACAATTTCTCTAGAGTACCAACATGGTTCCCGTCTCGCAGTTTCTGTATGGGCTGCTCCCTTTGTCTTTTGTGACATCCTCCGCCTCCTCTTATTCCTGGTTAACTTCTATCCACTATTTAAACCTCAGGCCCTTAGGAGTCTTTTTCTAACCCCTTCGCCAACCAACACCGAAGTCAGACTTCTGGTTACACGACTTTTTGTGTTTTTCCTGTAGTGCTTATCACATTTAGAGTTTAATGATTATTTATTTAAATCAAATTTCTCTTCTAGACTTGCCGTATATAAAAAGGGACTCTGTTCATCCCTTTATTCATTATTCATTCATTATTATTGTATTGCCAATATTTACAAAGAGTTCAGTTCCAGTAAAATTAATATTTGTTAAATGACTGAATAAACCCATTTGTTAAACAAATTATGTTTTTATTGAAGGTAAAGCATGCAAAATGTATAGGAAGCAATGTGAAATGCAGAATCAGTACAGTTCATACAAAATTCAAGTCCTGTGTATAAGCGGTAGCCTAACAAAAGTCATGCTACAAAACTGCCTGTCTGTGTAAGTGCAAAATGTGGGGGAGAACAAGAGCTGACTGTCACAAAGGCATTTTCTGGTATTAGGATTCTCTCTTATTGGTGAGTTGACTTGGCCTAGGTTCATTAAAAAGAGCATTTCTAGGCTTGAGTACGTGGGCTTAGCCCTGGCTACTGAGGGTCTTGTGGGTGGATGGGGTTCCCACTGGAGCCACCTGGCTTCCTGTGAGAAGCGGGGCTGGGAAGGTTGCTGATTCAGCAGAAGAAAAAATATCTGCTTGCACTTCTTGATTCACTAGTCCAATATGCACTTAACTCTTGGTTACATGAGCTTTAAACCATGACACTACGAGTTATTATCCAAACTAGGTCTTTTTTGAGAGCGAAAGAAGGCTCTGTTCATAATCCTGCTGGAATAACAGGTAAAAACCAAGACTGAACTGGGAAAGTCAGGATGTGGGGTCACTCCAGTTGGAAGGAAGACAAGTAGAGGGAGGTTTCTGTTTGAGAGGAAGCAACAAGGCACAAGTGAAACCAGAAGGCAGAGTGGCGCATGACGATAAGAACAGGGAATAAATCCATGGAAAAGGATACAGGGTCCTTTTCCCAAGCCAACGATTGCAGACGACCCCAATATTAATTTAAAGGGTCAGTGTAAGGAAATGGAAGATCATTCCCTACGGACCCAGTTATATCTTCAGAGATTATTCTTGTCCAAAAATAATGAATTCCTTCACTGTGAATTATACACCACCAAGAGGTTCCGGCTTCTTGACTTCCTCGTAAAAATTTCAGAATTGCCTTACAACAATTTTCAAATAACACACCCTGACCACTCCACACAAGAGATAGGACAGGCAAAGGACAGAGCCCTGACCTAGCGGCTAGCGTCCTTTTTGCTGATTGCTAACCATGTATCTCGGGTCCAGCTCTGCCGCAGGATCTTTCTCTATACAATGATCAAGTATGCTGTGTGTGGACAATTCACACAGGAATGCCTCAGCGGGGTAACGTGGGCTGGCCCCCTGACGAGGGCTTTGGGTACTACATGCTGATGGTTTTCTGAGTCGAGGCTGCAGGTAAGGGACCGGGGGGAATCATTTGGTCTTTAGAGAGACTGCAGGAAGTGATGACCGAGAGCAGAGCTTTGAAGGTAGTGTAGGGATAAATAAGAAATAATCTGAACTGGATTCTGATGACATCAGAGGTGGGTGGGTGCTGGTGGGAGCTGGTAGGACTGTGGGCAGCATCCCTGAGCAAAGAGGAACCCTATTTGTGGGGACATGCTGTGCTCAGGGCTGCAGGAAGATCTCTGAGGCAGGGGAGGAGAGTGATCAGGAAACAGAGAGTGGCCCAGAGGATGTCAGCAAGCCCAGGATGCAGACCCCAGGCAGGGCCTGGACCACTTTTCACAGAAGGCTCTATTCAAACGGGTGATTTTTCTTTTAAAATTGAAAGAATCTGTTGCATATTAAAGAGATGTCCTGGGGTAGAGCTCGTTTGGCCAAATTTATTTCACGGGAGGTCAAAGGAAAGACACGAAATGCCTTGCACATCCTATTAGATAAAAAGCCGCATGGTAATGAGCGAGGAAATGACAGCAGGATATCTTAATCTGGTAGATTTTATTCCACACATTATGTCATATTTGATTTAAAGAGTCAAAAGGTTGAGGGCTAAAAATCAAAATCAACATCTGTACCTCAAGTAGAATAAATGGAATAAGTACAACACTGAAGAGGTGATTTTTCTTTTTCTTTTTTTGTTTTAAGACAGAGTCTCCCTTTGTTGCCCAGGCTGGAGCTCACTGCAACCTCCGTCTCCTGGGTTCAAGCAATTCTCCTGCCTCAGCCTCCTGAGTAGCTGTGATTACAGGTATGTGCCACCACATCTGGCTAATTTTTGTACTTTTAGTAGAGATGGGGTTTCACCATGTTGTTGGCCAGGCTGGTCTCGAACTCCTGACCTCAGGTGATCTGCCTGCCTCTGCCTCCCAAAGTCCTTGAATTACACGTGTGAGCCACCACACCTGGCTGAAGAGGTGATTTTTCTACATCACTGACTTCCAGAAACCCTTTTTTCCTGTAGCTCCAGCAGCTCTGGGCCTGTGTGGCTGACTCTCCTCCCACCTCTCTGGCCCCCTCACCACATTTCTCAGGGACTCTCGCTGAAGCTCACCCTGAACTTGGGTCCCTGGCGTGCTGCCCTCTCTGCACCCTCCCTGCTGGAGTTCTCATCTGCCCCGGCGGTTTCAGTTGTCACATCTGTGCAGACAACACTACCGGCCCCAACTTCTCTGGCATTCTGGCCTGCTGGCACAGAGCAGCAGCCCACTCTATCTGGGGGTCAGAGTGTCACTTCCAAAATCCTGTCTCCTCCCAGCCTAGCCAGCCTGGCAACCCCACCAGCACCCGGACTGGGATCTTCAGAGTCAACATTGCTCCTTCACATCCTCGCCTCCGACACGGCCCAGTCGGTGGTCCTGTGTTGCCTCTCTTGTAGAGTGTGCATGGTTGTCTCTGCCCTTCCCTTCCCTCCCCACTATGCTGCCAACCTCATTTTGGGCTCAATCACCTGCCCTCGACATGATTAGAAGGTGGTCCCTGTTGATCTCCCTCACTCAAAGTTCTTTTTTTCATTCAGTTCATGTCGTACAACGTTGTCAGAGGATTAGTGCTGAAATACTGTGTAAAAAGGTTACATTTTCTTTTTGGGGGACACTTGACCAGCTACAAGATTACAAACTGGCCTGATGCATGCTGCACCTTTATCCTTTACTGCTCCTTTTGCTCAAGATACGTGGCCACAGATCTCACATGGATGAGACCTGCAGTGCCCCCAGACGCCTGGCACTTCTCGCCCTGACAATTTCCTCCTGTGTCTCCTTGTTCCCTGAATGGGGGCAAGGTCCCTCTCTACTTTCTCTGAGCAGCTAAATCCTAAGCAAGACTCGACATCTCAGGCAGTCGGCAAGAGCTTCTCCGGCTCACCCAGGCCATGGTGATTTCAGAGGAATGCTTCCAGAGCTTTCTCTGACTTTCACGTAGCCATTCCTGCTTGTTCCGTGTTTTATTAGTTTTCATTTCATGAACATTTTGTAAATAGTGTAATATGGTAAACATTGTGAACATAGACATTATGTCTTAACTCCTTAACCACACGCCTATTATAATACGAAAGAAAGCATTTCTCTGGCTTATTCAAGGCCGGCAGTTATGCTTGGCGCAACACACAAAAAACCTCGTTGTTTCCATGAAAATAGAGATTTATTAGATAGAAGAATGTGTAAAATGTCATGGATTATCGGCACTTAAATGCATGGACAGTGTGGTGCCATTGAAGCAATTGTGAAACATCTGCATGGAAATTTTTGGAAAATGGATTTGGCTTATAAAATTCTTGAATTCAATGTACAAATTCATTTTTCTCTAGACATATCTAGATTCCCCCAGTATTCCAGAAAGAGCCAACCTCTTGAATGGGATAACATGTGCAAGTGTTTTGTAAACTTAAAGCACTGTAAATAGATAAGAAATCGTTGCTATTAGTAATAAAATTCCCTAATATCACGCAATCATCTAAGTGAGAAGAATAGGGTGAATAATTATATAATGTCATCAAATAGCAAGAGCTCATCTTTGCTGGCGAGTGGACAATACTATGTTCTCTTTCTCTTTTTTTCCCTCCCAATTCTCCCCTCTAGGAAAGATAAATCTTGCCAAAAACCATGATTTGTGTGAGAGCAGTGTATCTGTTATCATGGTCCCATGCGTATCGATGGGAGGCTGACATGCATTTCCACGGCTTATTGGCAATATTCCCTTTAGTGCTGTGTTTTGGAAAGTTAGTTGAGTATTGCTTTAAATTAATGAAATAAGTTGTTGGAGACCACTCTATCTTTTTATCCACTGTTGAAAAGTTGAAGTTAGTTGTTTGCTTAATACTCCAAGCTGATGAGGCATTTCATTATCTTACCACTAATACACTCTAGAAATGGAATCAT